ACCTAATTTTAAGACTTCCTCTAAAGCTACAGTAATCAAGGCAGTGTTGGTGTAAGGAAAGACATATAGATCATTGGAATAAAACAGAGAAATAGAACTACACATATATGGTCCACTGAGTTTTGAAAGATCATTATTATTATTATTTTTTTTTGGTACCGGGGATTGAACTCAGGTCCTTGTGCTTGCGCAGCAGGTGGCAAAACCACTGAGCTAAATCCCCAGCCCAAGTTTTGAAAGATTATTTAACATTAACATTTTATAGAACATAAACTCAATTCAAGAGCAGAGGAAAAGATAGTATTTTCAGCAAATGGAAAAAGATGATAAATGAGATTCCATCAAAATTTAGAACTTTAAATGACAGCGTTAAGAAAATGAAAAGTAGTCCTTAAATAGACCATATTTATAATGCATATAACCTATGACCAGAATATATAAAGAACTCTTACAGCTCATTAATAGACAACCCAGTTAAAAAGTAGACACAAGATGATGATAAATAGCCAGTACAGCACAAGGAAAGGTGTGCAACACTAGAATCAGAAAAATACCAATCAAAGCGCAAGGACCCAAGTTCAATCCCCAGTACCAAAAAAAGAAAAATACTAACCAGTACAATAACAAGATTGAATTATACACTCATTAGGGAGATGAAGTTAAAAGCTTCAAAAGAACAAATGTCAGCTTAGGTGTGAACCAGTTAGAACTTTCTAATACTGCTAATGTGAATGTGAAATGATAAAACCATTTTGGAAAACAATATAGAAATTTCTATTCTTAAGTTTTTACTTAAGAGGAATGAAAACACATGTTCACAATAGATTTGTACATACAAGTTGACTATCCCTTATCTGAAATTCTTGGGACCAGAATGTTTCAGATTTTCATTTGAAATCCACTTGATCTTGCAAAGAGGATAGCTACTACTTTTTTTTGGGTTCCTGTCGCATGTGGTATTGTTTTCCACCCTTTAACTTTCAGTCTATGAGTTTCTTTTTGAATTAAATGTGTTTCTTATATACAACATATTGTTGGATCTTGCTTCTTGACCCATTCTGCCAGTATATTTCTTTTGATTGGTGAATTGAGACCATTCATATTGATGGTTATAACGATATGTATTGACTTATCATTGTCATGATTTTTTCTTTTTGTTGGATTCTCCCCCTTTGCATTTAATTTCTTGTCATGCCAGATGG